TGAGTATAAAAAAACACAATTCGTCAGGGAGAAAAAAATATATATATGTATTTTCTACATATTAGTAGACTATCTATTTAGAATCGATTGAATAGCCCTTTGAAACCACTAAATTGTCAAATTGTCACATTTTCCGGGGGATCCGCCCCATGGACCACCTTCGAAACATTTTAATTGACACCCGATCACGCTCACTTTACTCTCGTTGGGGAACTTGCACCCCCCCCCCAGATGCTTTCTCCACCACTGCCAATGTGTCTACTTTGTAAAAGTGAGAAAGTAGTTAACTTTCAATTTTCTCATCAGCCATAAGTAAATAAATCTGTTAAGATTTTCCAAACACTGGAAGGAAGTTACTTGAATTCTCCTATTGTTATTAAAATCTTTTTTTGTCTCCTGCTTAAACATTAGGAAGTTATACTTACGCTCCATTCGCTTGGAATCTTTTCAATTTCTAATAATTTGCTAAAAATATACAGAAATTGAGCTGACAAGTCATGATAGCAATAATTGTATATTGTTAGCCAATATAGACCTACATGGTTGTCCCAAACATGTGTTCTCTTCAAATTTATTTTTGTGTATATTTGAATTAATTACTTCGGACCAACAGACCATCGGACCAAAGGCCCTTTGGACCAACGGACCTTCGGACCAAAAGCCCTTCGGACCAAAGGACCTTCGGACAAATGCAATGACCCCCTATGGAGTAATGATTTTTATTTTTACCTTACTGTGTACAGAAGACAATGTATCATATACATCACCAAACTGCTACAAATTTATAAGAGTGAAGAAAAAAGGCCGATCATGTATTGATGCTAAGCGTGAATGCGAACAAGTAGGCGGCAACATCACTGTAATAAACAGCATCAAGGAGTACGAGCAGTTGACACAAAACGTGATACATGTCCTCAGCTACTCGGAAGTTAGTGAATTTAATGTTCATGTCCAATACCCGCCACTTGATCACATTCGTATGGGGTGTGCAACAATTACAGTAAATGATGGAGCGTTTTCAAATAGTGTACGCATTACAAATACCGGTTGTGCAACAAATCAAATGGTAAACAGTATCGTTTGCGAGTCTGCAGGTAAGTTGTTAGGCACGGGTGTGGTACTGGCCCGGGTACTGGTTGTATGTGTGGGAGTGGGAAGTGTAAAAGTTTGGGTAATGTGTTGAAACAACCTTTCAATTATTTATCATAGTATATTTATTTATGCTAGGATTCACCTTTGGTATATATTTTTATTTTTCACAATTAGTCCCTACTGTCCGTGTACACATCATGGGGTAGATGAGATGTTGGTTGGTAAAACATGATTTTTTAAACTGTAACCACACCGCCTGCCCTTAATCACGTGGTCTTAAAAGCCACCTGGCTACCCAATGACTATGTTGCCATCAGAAGAGAACGAACCGATCAGTACGGTAATTAAATTCAAAGAATCTACTAAAATGAATGAAGTTTTTTTGGTTTTTTGTCCTTAAACAGCAAGTAACTAGCCACGTACAGGATGGAATTAAGCTTTATAAACTGAATCTCTTTTAGACTTGGTAGTAGGGTTCTGGGTCTGTGGGTAAAGCCGACTTCCTAAGGACTCCAAAAGTGTAGGTGTAATAACAGGAGGGGTAAAAATATAGTGGAATGATAGGAAAAGTTTAACACTCATGTCATGAGCCGGCTTGCCGTAGGCTATTACCTCAACCCTGTGTGCATGAGTCTGAGGAAAGTATTGTAGTGGTGTAAAAAACCCCGGTATGATAGGTTTTAACCTATGACACTGGTTTGGAAGACAAGAAGGAAGGCAAGCACATTAGCCACCAAGCTATCCATCTCCATGATTTTTATTTATTTATTTATCTCAACTTTATTTCACGAGGGTAGCTCTAACAGCTGCACTACAGTAGTACAGCTGACTTGAAGAGTATGGGGTGCCATACCCAGCAAAAGTCCATGTTAAAATCAAAATGTGATTGCAAAATTCAATGTCTAATTTATCAAAACGTAGGCGTAAATTTCTCAAAACGTAGATCTAGTTTCCCAAAATGAAGTTCAAATTTTTCAAAATATAGTTCTAATTTCTTTCAAATGTAATTCAAATTCAAAACGTAGGTCTGACTTGATCAAACACCCTCTCCAAATTCTATTCCAAAACGTAAATAAAAAACCAGCCTGGTTATGAAATGCATTTGACAACAACACTAGAAACGGACTTCT